TAAGCGAAATAATTACACTTATCTATATATAGAGATCCAGAAGATCTGATCGGAATTGTTTATACATAAGTTCCCTTAAATAGACTAGTAATTCATAAATGCTAATACATTTCACTATATAAGCTATTTATGCTAATCAACTTAAGCTAACTCAGGCTAAATCAAATATGGCGTTCTACGAAACTTTGGATAGATTTTTTTATTTATTTATTTTTTTACATGGTTGTTGCATTAAACTTCCATATTCATCCTTTCTTGCAAATCAATAAAGAACCCCACGGAAACCACAGGTGAAGATATAGACATAACAATGCTTCTTTTTCAGGCATACACTGTAGATTAGCACTTCTAGTTTCACCTCTGCTCTTGTAGAAGGTACAAATGTATTGGAACATCAATGAACACTTGTAGGTTGTTGTTTTTTTTTTCTGTTTAAACATTTTGACTTGCTTTCATTATTTTCTAACAATTTCATGTCTGTGCTTTTGTATATTCTGGTTGTACAAACTAGTGTATGTGTTATATTTTTTAATGTGTTTCATTATGCATTCACTTTGTTGATCAAGTTATGTAAAGCTGTTAATCTGCTTTGTTACTCTATTCCTGCTGAGTACTATTTTACAAATACATCCAGTCACTAATGTGAATGTAAGAAATACTATATTCCAATTTGCAGCAATTCCGATTCATGAATTATGCAGATTATGGGAAGTCAAGGTATCTAACACACATTTGAGTAGACCGGGAATTTGCATGACAAACGTGTGCATACAATAGCTATATTTAATTTGACATTGGAAAGTTATTGATTTATTATAGAGTGTGCCAGGACAGCCAGGCATAAAATATAAGCAGCTTACTCATGATATGACATTACTTAATCTCGCAATCTATAGAAATTAGTTTTTTATCTTCGTGTGGAAAAGAGGCAGATAGTTGATAGTGCTGCCCCCCAAGCCATCCCGGGGTAACAAGCACTTTATTTTAATATTATACTTAAGAATTGGTGGCATTGTGGAAATTATGAATAGGAGAATACTCACCTTTTCTTCTACTTGTGCAGCGTGATGGCAGGGCTGGCCGGTGGAATCTCTGTAGATTGGGCAGGGAAATGTGACACACAGTTGTACAATTGCAAAAATGGAAAAGGAACCGCACTCAATTAATTTAAGACAGGGTGCTTAGCTGAACCAAGGGCCAGAAGTTAATGAATATCAGTATCTGTATTAGAACATGTGGAACACTGCAATGTTTCGACTCCCAATGGTGTTTTTGTCAAGCACAGTTGTACAAGTCCCGTAGTCACCTTTCAGTAGTTTAACAGCAAAGATGCAGCCTGTTTCAGGTCTTGATGCAGGCAAAGAGATGGTGTAAATCAAAAGGCAGAGAGAATTAAAGAGAAACACATAAAAATGCATAGGGGCGCATTGGATCAAATCAAATAATGGATGTAGTCAAAAGAGAAAAAGGTCTAGACACTCCAAGGCTTAGCTAGGAAAATGTATTGGAACCAAAATGTACAGCAGCAATGTTTCGACCAAAAGGTCTTTTTCAAGCAGCACACATATGCAGAAATGAACAAAAACCCTGGTTGGTTCCCGAACCAAGACCACCCCAGTGGCCTATTAGAACGTGGAACGTTGAGTATCCTGTACGAAAACCGCAAAGGAACTAATTAATAGAATGTTCCACTGGGTGGCCACCATTTCGTGCATGCGAACGCACGTAGTCGGGATAGTGGATGGCGGCCATTTTGTCTCCTGAATGCTGGCAGCGGGACTTGGTTGTCGAGTGACTGGAACTCATTTTGGCTAGGCACTCCCGCGAACATCGGTCACCATGGACCTGCTGCCCGTTCCAGTTCCAGTACACATACAAACGGCGTTCGGGAGTTACAGACTACCGATCACGGGGAGCATTCTATATGAATCAGCATTCATCTAACTTATGTGGTTTTCGTAAAAAACAACACAAACGGAGACCGGCTCTTGCCACAACTTCCCTGGAACTAATTTGGGATTCAGCCTCGTGGCAGACCCGTCAAAACTTTCCCGCGATCGCGATCCAAAACTACCTAACGGATCTGGGTGATTTTTTTTTTTATATTTTGTTCACCCAGATCCAGGCTATAAGAGGACGTGTTTTTTTGTGGGGTTGCCCTGTATTTTTGGGGTACTTAAGAAATGTATGATTTTTCTGTTCCTGGGAGATAATATAATAAACGATGTGTATTCCAATAATTATCTCTCAGGAACAGAGGATCATGGGAGGGATTTCCCTGTTTTTCTGTGTTAGAAATCCCGTGTTGAGGCTTTTGCATAAAATGCCGTGTGTGGCTCCAAATGAACCAGTCTTCTCCCAGCATTAAGCCTTGGCTCATGTGTATGGGACATCGGCGATAATTTACCTTTGGGATTATATGTGTTAGTTTATTAGGAAAAGGGCATCCGTGGTGGTGATACACTGGCAGACAGCCACAATAAATATTTCAGACACCAGGAGACCCACAGACTCTCTACTGATGCACTGTTGCTTCTGCTGTAGCTGGTAATGTAATACTAACTAATCAGTCTACCCTGTGTCGCTTGGTCTGATCCCAGAACTGAACAAAGACAGTACCAGGAATATTTACTAATGCGAGTGTCCAAAGTGAATTCAAAGTGAAAGCCAAAATAGCTACCTTTACTTAAAAGGTTCTCACTTATGTGAGTAACCTTGTATGTGTACATTCAATAAACATTTTGTCAGGAACACTGAAAACTCAAGTGATAAACGTTTCAGTTCCTGGCAATCCAAACGTTTAATAATTACATTAATAACTTTAATGTTACCTTGGTATTGAGCAGTAAACATACAACGTTTATGGATTGTAGGACATGTAGCACAAAGGTTTACATTCCTCAAAGCACATTTTTTTTCACACTGTGATCATTTGCTTACTCCAATAGATGTATATCAGGGTATTGTGACAGCTCAGTGCTAGTAACTGATTCCCAGCCTTTTGAACCCCTCAGGTAGCTAAAATGATTCATTCAATTGGGTAATACTAACATCAAAACTCCCGAAAGACAAACTAGCAAGGGAGAAATGTACTTTTTCTAGATTAACAATTTAAATCTATTATTATATTCTAGTTATCATCAATTAGGTTATATAGGTTTCAAAACCATGTTAACCTTACATGCTAAATTTTGTCTTTTTCTTATTTGTCTAGGGTGAACATGGAATTTCAGGTTTAAAGGTATGTGTTTTTTTTCAAACTAATGTTAAAGATCAATGTTTTTCATTCTGTGAAAAATGCATTTCTGATCGTTTCAGTACTTTTTATATTTCGGAATGCAACTGAATTTTGTATGAAATGGTTGCTGTGAGAGGTACTTGTTTTGGATAAATGGCTGATGTTTGTAAAACTTGATTAAATTGTACTCAGCTATAATGTGTTGAAAGTCCAGTTATAACATCAGGCTTCTTCAGACTTGACCAAGACCCTGGGTCAGTTACAAAGTGCTATTGAAATAAGATACTCCTCACCTATAAAACACTTAAGCAAGCTGAAGTATTCTATGGGTGTGGATAGGCCTACTAAGCGATTTATTTTTCAATTAAATGTTAAATATTGTGAATACATAGCAAATATTGAGGAGTTTTGTCTTTCCAGGCTATGCAGATTTCTGCAGTGTTATTGCAGAGTTTCTGTAGTATAAACTCATGCTGTGCTAGGAGGCCTAAAAGATCACCAGTCAGATATTTTTAGCAGCATGTAATTTTTGCTCTGCAAAGGAAAATTCTTTGTTCGTAAACTTCAAGGATGATGTTTGATATATTTTAATAGTATATACATAGATTAAACATTCTTTTTTGGGTCAAGACACAATTATAATGTTTAAAGGGACACTCTAGACCCCTTGTCCTCTATTTGTCATTTTACAAAAAATTGAGATTTAAATATATATTGGCACTTCTATCAATTAACCTTGTTACATACCCCTGGCTCTCAATCAGACTGCCAGTCTTGTTCCTGGGTTGGTTAGCTCAGTGGAGATATTCTCAAGAGGCAGCAATTGCTCAAAGTACCTGCCTTGCACAGACTTCACATTGAGCTGCATTGGGTATGCATCAGTGTGTATGCGTGTGTGCCTAGGTATGTTTCTGTGTGAATGTGTGTGTGCCACAGAAATACTGGGCAAGGTTTGAAGGGCAAGGCTTGCAAAGGATGCAGACAAGAGATCTGCAGCTTTTGCAAACTGTTTATAGATATACCCACAATTTAAAAATACATCATTAAATCAATGCTTTCATTGGGTTTATATCTACTAAACAGTATTTTTTTTTTTCTTGTATTTGGGCAGTGGAGTTTGCCTTTAAGTTTTATACCTATTTGAAGATACCATTGAAAATACAATGGTGAAAATTCAAGTTGCCCTCTTTGTAACTCTGTTCAGGGTTCCCTTGCACCATATTCCACCCACATGTAATAATGCAAAACAACACTCTGTTCAGCGGTGTACATACCGCAGTCGCAGGGGTCGCAGCTGCAACCGGGCACATCATTCAAGGGGGCCTGGCCACCCTGCGGACCCCTGCGACCAGGTACCAACTGCCACCATCTTTTGCGGCACCGGCCCGCACGGCAAACCGCCTGGGCCGCATGTTAAGGGGTCCATCAGGTGGCCCATGCTGTCAGGGCCAGCCGATGGAGATGGATTTTTCAGGGGGCCGGTCAGCACTGGGCGCTTTAACAGATGATGTCAGACAGAGCTGGGTGGAAGTGACTGCACATCACTCCTAGCTATCTGACAGAGCCGCGCGGGAGGAAGGAGGAAGGAGTCAGAGTGGGACTCCCATCAGGCTGAGCCCACACTGGACCCCAGGGAAGTCACCCTCCTGTTTCCTACCTTTTGTACCTTTATGTCTGTATGTATGTGCATGTCTGTGTGTCTGTCTGTATGTGTGTGTGTGTGTCTGTATGTATTTGTCTGCGTGTGTCTCTGTATCTATGTGTCTGTGTGTGTGTGTGTGTGTGTCTCTGTATGTATGTGTCTGTGTCATACAGACACATACATACAGAGACCCCCACAGACACATACATACAGACATACACACAGGCAGACATGCATAGAGACGCACACACATACATACAGACACACACATACAGACTGTATGTGTGTGTGTCTGTATGTATGTGTCTGTGTGTGTGTCTGTGCGTGTCTGTATGTATGTGTCTGTATGTATGTATGTGTCTGTGTGTATACGTGTGTGCCTATGTATGTGTCTGTGTGTATGTGTGTGTGCCTCTATGTATGTCTATATGTATGTGTCTGTGTCTGTGTGTATGCATGTGTGCCTATGTATGTTACTGTGTGTATGTGTGTGTGCCTCTATGTATGTCTCTATGTATGTGTCGGGGGGGAGGGCACGGATCGGGGGGGGCCATTGATCAGTTTCGCATCAGGGCCCCATGTATTGTGTGTACGCCACTGACTCTGTTGAAGATGCTGCAAGATAGCAGATGTCACTGGGATCTTAACCAGGTTCATCTTGGACATATGCATTAAGTTTAATTTGCCTTACTGAAAGTATACCAGTGACATCAGCTATCTCAGTGTGTGGGCTGACTGGGAAATGGAATGCCTATGGGAGATGGCAGCTAATTTAAAATTCTGTCTCGCTTTGATTGGCCATATTTTAAAAGCAGCTGTTTTTAGTAAAGAATTAGTAAAGAATTTAAAGTTAGAAAAACAAGAAAGTGATTGGTCTGATTTTAATTAATCATTTAATTAGTATTACAGATTAGTAATGTCAACTAATCATTTCAACTGTATTAATTCAAATTGTAGCGAAGTGTTTTATGTAATGCCTTAATGATCAGTAATGTCTTAATGTAAATAAAATGTATGTTATTTGCCTGCTTTCTATTTTGATTCTGTAAGAAATATTGTATTCTAGAGAAAACAGTGTTTATATGCTACATGAAGGGGGTACGAGAAACATAAAGCACCCCACGGACCCCTGATTAACTGCTCTGTGCTTTCAGTCAATCCGAATATAGCTTGAATTCCAAAACAGACCAGAACATCAACAGACAAGAATAGACTAATTGTAGCCATCTGCCTTCAAAAAAGTTTTTTTTAAAAAGTCATAAACGACATCTTTACATATCTATATTTGAAGTTCTTTTTAAGAGGTCCATTTATATAACATCTGTGGTAGGTAATATGGTCAAGCGATCAGTCTTAATTGATGTCCTAATTAATTTTGCCTTACCTTTGGCAAATGCTATCACTGACCTGAATATTATGCCCCAGTCTGTCATGTTTACCAGTAGTTTCATATAATTTTAATATGATATTTTTCCTTTTTTATATATCTTTCAATATATCATTTGTACTTGCAGGGTGAAAAGGGAGACACTGGCAATTCTCTTGGTGGTGTCAAAGGGGAACCTGGAAACCCAGGCTTACCGGGACCCCCAGGACCAAAGGTATGTGTCTGTTCATTTTAAAACATTGGTATTTATCACTGGGAATATGAACTCAGGAGCAAAGTTCGAAATGTTGAGAAGTCACAATGAAACCAACCAAATTTCCCTGCTGTTTGATCTACCTTTTTAACTTAGAATTGACATAGAATTACTCTTTATAATTTAACCTCGTTGGTTTTATTTGCACATTTAAATGTATAATATTAGAGGTCATCTTATAAAAAGTTAATTTGATTTTGAATTACTACTTTTAAAGACATAGGACATATTTACAAAAAATGTCATTAACTCATTGCCATAAACTGTGGCTCTTAACAATTGGGAGCTTATAGCAGCTGCAAATTACCACCAGGTTTCCAACTTTGTTGCAGCCTAACGGTGTTAAGTTTTTGGGGTTACTAGAAGCCAATAAAGACTAGTGACAGGGTTGGAAAGCAGTCAGAAAGCAGGTGCTAATTAGTATTTAGATAATGGGAGCCATCAGCCACTACATAGCAAAGGCCTTTTCAACAGTATTTTCTTTCTATTCTGGCAGATTAAGTTGGGACTAAATCATATAAAAGAGATGAAATATCTATCATTATAAAAATGTATCCAAATGACCTTTTGACAATGTAATCTCTTGCAATAAACTAGCATTCCCCTAATTCATCAGTAGGCACATCTTGACAAATTAGCTGATTTACTACACAAAGAAAGCAAACTTGCAAGCATAAAACAACAACATTGCACTGCTAAACACACTCTGTAAATACAGCTTTGAGTACATCACATGTTGATGTTATATTCAAGAAAAAGTAAGATTAGAGTTATAAAAAGATATTCATAAGTGTTGGTCTTCACCTCTTTGGGCATCCGCTTAAAATTCAACTCACTTTTTTAACCTTCTCTTTTTTATACATATATATCGTGATCAGGAAAAAAAACTGTATTGGTCTTAACAGAGAACTGACATTTTCCAAGATTTTTATATTGTGTTTGGATAAGCTCTATATTTAACAAATGTGTGTTTGTGAAGTCTGAAGTGTAAAATCCACACATTTGTATTTAGCTCTATCCTTGAAATGAGAGATTCCATCTTGGATTTTGATAATCTCTCCTGCAATTTGTGCCTTGGTTGTGCCAGGACTGATCTGGCTTGGGGTGTCAGTTGTGTATATATTTAATATGCATTTAAAAGAAAACATATCATTGCATTAAAAATGATGATTTTCAGTGTTTTATTCAGTAGTGTAGCTTCCTAAAAAGTGTCAGTTCTCCTTAATGCCTACTTAGCCAATAACCAACTGTATTGTCAAAACACTTTTTAGGGAATGTTCCAAGTAAGTGCTGTGCAGCCTATTCAGCCAGAATTGTAATACCTTATGAGATTGTTTCATACTAGGTTACATCAGTCTTTTTGTATTATTTGGATATGATTTCTCTTTGTTCTGAATCAATTTCCCACTATGTGTTTCTCACTGGAGATCTACATAAATGATATCAAGTCAGCACTGTACAGAAGATAGTTACGTTGTCGCATTCTATGGTACCATAGGGACAATTCATTCCTGACTCCTGTAAAAAGAAGAATCTAGTTGCTGTTCTGTTGAATGCCTCTGATTTGTTATTCATCTACTTGTTTTATTTCCCAGATAAAATGCTTCCACGTATGTACTTAAAATTCATGCAAGTTATATATAACCTAAACCATTCTCCATCTGATAAAGCGTCTTTGATCATGAATTTGGAGAATCTTGTTAGATGGAATTCAAAGAACTAGGAAGTTGTAAAAGACCTTTTGTTAAAGACATTGCTACGAACGTAACTGTTCTTTGAAACCAGGAATATGACAAACTAGGGTATTGTAAAACACAAAGAAAACTTTTTTCTTTTTTTTTTCATTACTTCTATCATATCGCAAAAAGGTGGAAAAAGGTCGTAGAACAAAACGCGGCCAACTTTAGACTTTAAACCTTTTCAACTTGGACAGATTTGATATATGTGTAGCCTTTTCCAACAGTGCTTTCCAAGCAGTGTTTTGGGATATGATTGTATCTTTGTCAAAGCTTTATCTGAGACTGCAGTATATTGATTGTTATTGTTACAAAATATTTTTAGTTGTTAAGGTGACCCTTAAATGACACAATAACCATACTACATTTCATAACAGATAAAATAACACCTAACAAATTGAAATCTTTCTTTTTGCTTTATATTTTTGCAAAGTGTACTACTTTTATTTCCAATGCAGTTTGAGGCAAGTCATTTTTTTCAGTGTTTGTTGTGTATCCATTGTAGCCAATAAGAGAACTTGGAGAACTTTATCTTTTTCTCCCCAAAATGTTGATATACCATAAGAATACCAGTGTTTCTATCAAGGTTGTGCATTAAACATATTATTACAGGTTAACATGTTTTTCCGATCTCCTTAATACTTAAAGGATCACTATAGGGTCAGGAACACAAACATGTATTTCTGACCCTATGGTGTTAACACCACCATCTAGCCCCCCTGAGCCCCTTAATCCTCTCTAAATATAGCAAAATCTTACTTTTATTCAAGCCAGAAGCTGTAGATCTGCATGCTGTTTGTCTCAAAAAAACAAGATGTCTGCTGACCTCATTTGAAGTGGTAGCCTGATCCAATCACAATGCTTCCCCATAGGATTGGCTGAGACTGTCAAGGAGGCAGATCAGGGGCAGAGCCAGCATGATTCAAACACAGCCCTGGCCAATAAGCATCTCCTCATAGAGATGAATTGAATCAATGAATCTCTATGAGGAAAGTTCAGTGTCTGCATGCAGACGGAGGAGACACTGAAAGTTTGGATGCATTTTAGGCAGCCATGACCCAGGAAGGATCTCTAACAGCCATCTGAGGAGTGGCCAGTAAAGTTATCACTAGTCTGTAATGTAAACATTGCTTTTTCTTTGAAAAGACAGTGTTTACAGCAAAAAGCCTGAAGGTAATGATTCTACTCACCAGAACAAATTCAACTAGAAAAGCTACAATTTCTGGGGAAATTGTGTGAAGTGTTCTTGCCTCCACCAGTAGTCTACAACTGGAGTGGGCGGAGTAACTGTTATCATTTATATAGCACATTTAATTGCAACGTTGTTGCACAGTTACATTAAACCATACATTTATAAAAACATTAGCAGGTGTTCAAAAGGCCCTGCCTGTCTATGACATCACTTGCTGCTGCAGCCTGGCACAGGTCAGAGTATTTTGGCGGTTGCCATCTTCAAACGGTCGTATTTTAAAAACTATAATTCCTACAGCGAAGAGCTTTATATTGTGAAAATCACAAGACCCAGACCTACATTCTGATGCATAGTATGTCTCTGAGGTATTAAAAATGAAGGCACAGTCGCAGTTTAGAAATTGCACTTCAAATTTGAGCTTTGTAGAGTGAAGTTTCAATGAATGTCAATGGACGGCGTTAGTTGCAAACAAATGATTATATTGTGAAAACTATCAGGACTATGGCTTAGCCATTGACATGTTTAGTGGCAGCAGGGATAGCTGAATGTTTTGATATAAGATTTGTGTAGGTGGGCCTGAAAATAAGGGAGTGGTGGCAGTTTAGAAATCATGTCCTGATTTTTCAGCTTTTGCCAGCT